TATTTATACAATTGGCATATGAAAAGTATTGCATAAACACTTAAGTGAAATATCAAATGCACTTCTTATAATAGGTCATGTTCAGTGAACCTACTTTCTTAGGTAAACATCCACATTCTAGTTCCAAGTATCTCTATACTTCAACTTATGACACCGATTGCTTACTTCTCAAGTAAGAAACATAAATGTACCAATCTCTAGGTATCATTGGTGTCCAATTCAATGATACATTGACCAGAAACATTTAGAGATTACGCTTTGATGCATGAGGATCTCATAACTGCAACCCATTACAATTCCTTTGTAAGGCATATTAATCTCATGGACTTCATTCAATTAGACTTATAACTTGTTCTAATTGATGTCTTAGTGATGAAGAAAAACCTTTAATCATTCAACATGAATGATATTTTTGCATGATTGGAATTAAGCCTTAACCAATCCCAATTGGCTGTAGAGCTCATCCCAACACTTAGTATTCCAAAATTGGTAATTGGTTCCATTAAATAGAGGAAGCCTATTTCTGGATTGACCCTTAGCATCATTAGATTTTTTAACAGACATAGGATCTTCCCCTTAAAATGTTAAGCATTAAAATCAAGGGTTAGGTTCTAATACCACTTATTGATTCCAATAGATTGCTAGAGAGGGGTAAATAGCAATTAAAAAATATTTTGAAGGTAGCTCTTAAGCTTGAAAAGCTTTTTGTATAATTTTGAAATGGAAGGTTTAAAACTTGTCAAAGTTAAGAGGCATCAAATGAGAAGAAGGTAAAGAGAAGCGGACAAAACATAAATATTTATAGTAATTTAGTCTACTTAACTAACATCCACTACCTTGATCTCCCAATTAAGTATTTTTAATTGATTTCACTAAACCAGTGAATTGATAGCTTCCACCAAGCTTTTTCAACCAAATTTCACTAAACCAGTGAATTGATAGCGTCCACCAAACTTTTACAATGTGAGCTTCTAACCAAAGTTCAAAAATCTTTACAAGATTTTCAAGCTTTTCTAAGCTTAATCTACCCCATAAAGTGTCTCCCACACTCTAAGTAAACAAAGCATAAAAAAAAATGAAGTACAATAAGAATAAAAATAGTTAGATGTGACATAGAAAGCTAAGACATGCTAGTACGCATGTATTATCTAAACTATCATCATTAGATTTAGTAAGAGCACTACCTAAGAATAATTATGAGAATGACAAATTATGTGATGCACGTGCAAAAGCTAAATATAGAATAACATCATTCAAAACTAAGCAGGAAGTCAGAACCACTAGGCTACTACAATTACTGCATATATAATCGCATCCCACGTCTCATAGTCACAAACCTTAACATAAATCGACATCTTAGTACTCCAAAATTGGTAATTGGTTCCATCAAATAGAAGAGGCCTATTTATGGATTGACCCTCAAAAACATTAGATTTTTTAGTAAACATAGGATCTTCCCTTTAGGATGTTAAGCATTAAAATCAAGGTTTAGGCTTTGACATCACTTGTTGATCCCAATAGACTACTAGAGATGGGTGAATAGCACTTAAAATATATTTTAAAAGCAGCTCTTAAGCTTGAAAAACTTTTTGTATAATTTTAAAATGGAAGGTTTAAAACTTGTTAAAGTCAAGAGGCACAAAATAAGGAAATAGGTAGAGAGAAGTGGATAAGACACAAATATTTATAGTGGTTTGGTCCCTTTAACCTGTGCCCACTACTTTGATCTCTCAATCAAGTATTTGCAACCCAATTTCACTAAATTAGTGAATTAATAGCTTCCACCTAGCTTTTACAATGTGAGCTTCTAACCCAAGCTCAAAAATCTTTACAAGATTTCCAAGCTTTTCTAAGCTTAATCTACCCCTTAGAATGTCTCTCACACTTTAAGTAAACAAAGCATACAAAAAAAATGAAGTACAACTGATCATTTAGCCGATCTAAGATATACAAAGTTAAGCTCAAAACTGTTTTACAAAGATAAGAGTGAAGCACACTTAAAAAGAGATCTTTCTAACACCTATTAGCTGTAAACTTGCCCTTGCATGCTTCTCTTATACATTATTGATCATTTGAACCTCTATTTATACTTAGAGGATAGTTTCTAGCCAATAGAAACATTTTTGGAGCAAAAATAGCTATTATTTTCTCTTCTAACAACTCTTTTCAAATTTGCTAGCAGTGTCTTGTTAACCGGTTGAAGATGAGCTTTCACAGATTAAAGTTTTTCTGTCTTGCAATCTACTTCTCTGTGTTAACTGGTTAAAGGTGACTTTAATTGCTTAATAACATTCTGTTTTGAAACTCCTCCAACTAGCAATCTTTCTTTAATTGGTTAGTCCTCCCTTTAACTAATTAAGGCTTCTCTTCTTTCAACTTTAACTGGTTAAAATAAGCATTAACCGATTAAAATATCTTCAAATTTGAATTCTTTCATTTGGCGCCCTTCAACAGTCAGCTTCATTTTGAATTTGAATTTTGGCATCTTTTAGGTACTTCAAATTTGATCGTTAATCGATTAACTTCGATTAATAACTTTTTGTTTTGTGTCCAGTACTTTTTTAATTGATTAAACCTTGTGTTAACCAGTTAAGACTTTTCTACTTGTCTTTAGTATAGCTCCCAAAATTGCTTTAACTAATTAAGGATTTGTGTTAATCTATGAAGACTAATTTATCTTTATTAAAGCGCTTTCTTCTTTGCTTGTTTAACCAATTAACTTATCTTGTAACTAAATGAGCATCTTGATTTGCTTTCAAATAACAAATAAATTAATGAATTTAAGCTTTCTTGTGTACACTTAAATAATATGATCAAACATTAATGAACAAGGAATGTTTTCTTATCATAAAAAACATATGAAGTCAACAGTCGAAATTTGCTTATGGTCCAACCAATGTCGATGATTCTATGCAAGCTCCACTTCTTGAACTCAAGGATTATCAACAAATGAAGGACTCAACAAAGAATATGGTTGCCAAGTGATCGAGTTTCCAAGCGACCCTTGAAATGATCTTTCATAGGCTTCCACCAACATTCGAGTCTCCTTCACAGGAGTCGCAGTTGCAAACATAGCCACATCCACAAGCAAGGTTGCACACACCCTTTTTTGATGATGCGGGAGAGGCACAACCAATAATAGATTTAGGGTATAATGTTGGATTTATGAATTTTTATATCGATTTAAACATTTATATTCATTTTTCATTATTTGAAATACTATTTGTGTTTGTTTTTCATTTTATAATAAAATTTAAATAGTTTTAATACATATTAAAACATTTCAATTTTATTATTTCAATATATTCATGTCAACTGTGAGCAGGGAATACAAGAAATACAAAATTATAAAAAAAAAGTTTTAGGTGAAGATGGTTTATCGACAGATAATATAACATGTTGACGGATTTTTAGAAATATTTACCGATGGATATTTCCCATTATCGACGAATATAAACGCTTTACTGACAAAATCGCCAACCAAAAGCATATGTCAGTGATCATTACCGATAGAAGTTACCGACCAAATAGTTGAATCACCAACCAATCCTAATGCTGATGAATCTGATTATTTACCAACAAAATCTCCAACGGAAAACTTTATTGTAGAATCTTCTGGTAGAATATTCCATTGCCCACAAAATAAACATTACTAGTGATGATATTTCTGACAATGAGCCTACGAAAGTTTTTGTCAATAAATCCGTCAATGTATCGTTTAGCCGAGGGATTGTAACTCATCACTAATAGAAGTTTTCGTTGATAAAGACCTTATTTTTTGTAGTGTCGCTTTGAGTTGATCTACCACTTAATCAGATTCGTTCCTTCAAAAATACTCTGATTTTCTAAAGTCTAAACTGAATATCCAAAAACCCAAAACTTTCTTTCTACACAAGTTCTTTTATACCCATTGCTATTATGTTGGTTTTAAAATTAATTTCTCGAGTTTTAGGTTGATGTAAAATACTTTTTTGTAAAATTTGTGGTATCTTTCCTGAGTTTTGTTTAATTTTATTTTCTTCTTTTTCGTTTTTTTTGTTTTTTCAAATTTCATACTTCCTATTTTAAGATCCCAACAAAATAAGATATCTCCAACCAGTACTTGCTAAGAGAAGAAAATAAAAAAAGTAATTTTTTATCTTTATTCACAAGAACCAATCATTTCAAATTAAAAAAATTAAAGTATTACAAGTTTACAAAATTATCTAATTTCTTTCAGATTTTATCTTACAATCTCCACTGACAATGTGTATAATGAGAAATATAATATAATTTTTAATTTTAAATTCTAACCAACAGATTGATGCAAAAAATAAATCAGTTTTTCAACCCATTTTTCTAGCTTTCCAGCTTTCCTATCAAGCACACAGAGAAATCAAGATCATGGTTTCTCCTTATCCGCGTTTCTTCTTTCCCATTTTTCTACCCTCCCTACCAAGCGAAGTCTCATAAAATTTTTCAAAAGCTCCAATATTGGCAGTAAAATGAGTTTTAAAGATTAAAGTCTGCAATGAATATAGTAAGGACAATTTTAAAAGGAAAAATCAGCTGAGGTACATATACTGTATACATATGAACCAAGTCTATCTTACAGACTCCTCCAGAATATCTCCGTGTAAACAAATTAAATCCATAAACCAAGTTAACCGCACTAGGAGCCTTCTCAAAACTTGTGGGGCAGCAAAATTAAAAAATTAAAAATAAAAATAAACAAATAAAGAACTCAAAATAAATATTAGAGGTGTTTCAAAATGCATAAACTAATAAGTTCCTACCGATAATATTGATTTCATTCTTGACCAAATTTGCAGTTGCGGTCATCTCCCAAGGCCTCCACATGCAGTAGAGAGCATCTTTCCAGTTGCTCCACCCGTATTCTCATTCTCATTTACCAACAGGGCTTCAGCAAAGCTCTTGGACATTTTTTTTACGAAATCATTAGGAAGTGACACAAAGTTCTGGGATTCACCAACAAAATCATCTGGAGAAGCCACCATGCTAGTTAGCTGTCTAGCCTTCCTTTCCTGCATTGCTCTCTGCCGTTCTTCATAAAAGTAAAAATCATCTAGGATGGATGAATGACTTTCATAATTTTTAAAAATGTTCAATATCTCAACACCCTGTTCCAATTCCACCTGCAATATTATTTGATGGAGCGTAAGACACCGTTCAGAAGAGTTGTTGCAATGGAAGATGAGAAAGATTATACCTTACTTGATGTAAGCACAGTCAGATAAAATAAGTGCAATGGTGCGAAAACTGGATTCATTGGATGGCACATCATCAAGTCTTACATATCAGCAGTGCACATGAAATTTTGCTTGCATTCACAGTAACTCCTAACATAACAAATTGTGCATGCAACACATGCCTACACACAAGTTGTTCAAACCGAAACAAGGGTTGCTTCTAGCTCTGATATGTACATTGTGACTTGCAGTTTATCGAGTTATACATCAAAACATTTCAACAAAAATTTATAAATACACCACCCTCATGACTTAAGAAGTACAGGCAAATAATGATGGTGGAAATCAAGTACACAAATTTCATGTTATCTTGGCCAAATTCAATTTGATTCTAGACCAACATAATCATCTCAGCAGCTCAAGTAAAACAACCACGATGTGAGGCCGTAATGGCACTAAATTTGAATGCAACCGGAAACGCCAAGTATCACATCACCACTCAAAAGTGGCTATAAAGTGTCAATCCCAAATGAATCCTTACCTCTTGAGTATCCCTACTGTTAGTAACCGGCTTGTTGTCATTATTTTCAAGCAGGATGTGGCGGAACTGACTGTTGGGGACATCTTTAATAATGTGCCACTTTACTGGGAATTGCCCCGACCACTTATCCTGAAGCCAATATTCCACGCTTTTGTCAAAGTCAACAGGTCCCACCATCTCAGCCACTCCACAAAACTGGGCACTAGCATTCACCTGCATGCATAACATATATGGTGAAGCTAAGTTAGTTTCAATCCTCATTCATGGTCTCTTCTTACAAATGAACCAGAAGGAAAGCACATGGATAAGGTGGTATGCATTTCAACCTAATATTTACATTGCTCACCACATCCTAATCCTTGTTCATCATAATGCATTACCAGTTATTAATATTCTACCAATTGTTTTAGTAGGTTATATGACTGTGCATCAACTTTCATGTTTCTTGTAATCCACCTATCACCTAGAATACAATGCAAGGTAGATTACCGAAAATAGCAGAAAGACAGGTGATGTCCCTTGTTTCTCTTTTGCCTCATGATAAGCAGTATCCAATTTTTTGTTGCCACTTGGGGTGCTTGCCCAGACACCATACTTTATGCTCTTGTGAATATTATCTTCACTATAAGATTTTATCACAAAGAACTTTGCATCCACATAGTCAGTGACAAAATTCTGTCGGTTGTATGATCCATTGCTAATGCCATTAGTTGGGCCATTCTTGCTGCTATCAACAATAAAACCTTTGGCCGTAACCTGACTTTTAGGCTTAAATGCCCTAGGTCCCTTGTTACGCTCACTTAATGTATCAAGTGTTACAGTAGAACTACATGAAAAGTCATTGCAGTTTCCTCCTTGTCTTGCTTCATCAAGCGAAGGCCAGTTCTGACCATTTATTCCTAAGCTAGAACTGGAAACACTGCCACAGCCAGAACTTTGATCACTTCGGCTACCAGTGTAGCTTCTAGAGCCCGAGCCAGAAGAAGAAACAAAACCATAAAATGATCCTTTCGAGAAAGGAGCCTGCACAAGATTTAATTGTTAAATAATAGACTAGAATCAATCACTCAGCAGTATCTATTTCAAACACATTGAATATAGTATTGACTTGGAAACCAATTAGAAACATCTCAGAATTAAAACGTAAAGATGAATCAAGGATGTAAATGTCACCAACTCACCATTTCACACAGAAATTCATGATTACGAGATGACATGCAGGGCTTACCAAATAAGCTACTACTTGAGCTACAAGTCCAAGAGGCACTCATAAAAAGGCCTCAAATCTTTTTAAGCTTAAAAAACAGAGGCTCAGAACAGATGCTGCTTGGAGAAAAGATGTGCAAAGCACGATCTATACATATTGATCCATCGAAAAAATTTTAAGTAATTTTGGAAGCCTTGTACTGGTGTGCTCATACTTGGAAAAACTTGTATAAACAACTACTGTTCATGAATTTCATAAAGTTTCCCAACAAAAGAAAAACATGTGTTTAAATTATTAAACAAATTAGGGATAGTTTTATTGTTGATTAAGAAATTTAAACACAAGGCATGCTTTTTGGGGAGCCCACAAACTTCATGTAATTGAGTCTTTCAGCTATTATTTTCAATTCAATGGAATTCATCAGATTAAAATATTCTGTTTATAGACAGACTACTACTTGTCTCTACTGAACTGGCATCTAGCAGGATTTGCTTTTCCTTTTTTGGGGTTGGGAAATGTTTGATCCTACCATGATGATGTAGCAACTAACTAGCCACGTTAAAAGGAATAAAAAGATCCCAAGAGTGCTTGAAACCAAATAGGATCAACAATAAAAACTAAAAACCAGAAGAAGAAAGATTCCTCTTTCTCTCACACCACCGCCATTGCCTCCTACCTTCCTCCACTCCCTCTCCCGCAATGTGACCACTACATAGTCTCTTCCCTCTCAACAAATCAAGGCAGAGTCAGATGCTACCAAAGGCAGATGGTTACAAGAATGGCAGAAAACTGAAGTTGATAGCAGCTTATTTAAAAACTCAATGGACAACAGAAAGCTTGCTACCTAAGTGCACAAGAATGAATATGAAACACCTTATCGCAAGAAATTGGAAGAGGAAAAAGTGCACAAGTAAAGAGATGTGTGTGATAATGATAGGGGGTACGAGGGAAAAGGGAGGACAGAAGGTAGTCATAATGATGGTTAGATAGAGCAAGATAGTGTAAGGTACTAGTGGTTGTCTTGGTGAGAAGAGAATACTTGTCCCTTCAACTTTGATCTTTATCATTTCTTTAGATATAACTACTTTTCAGTTCTTGAATTTGAGCTCAGATTTGTTTTCTTTCCCTGCTTCTCCATTAAAACTTGGCAGCTATACCGAGGAGCAGATCTGGGATTTATGTTCAGTGGCGCAAACTAACATATTTAATATTAAATATACAAACAATACGAATGCAAATTAATTCAAGTGCAACAAAAATTGCTTTGCTAGTATAAAGATAATACATTACGAATGTTCTTTACAGATGCTTATCATTTGGAAGCAGCACAAACTTTTTAATTATCTATAATTCAAAATATATTTTCCTCTATATATCTAACCAAACAATCATTCATTCAAGAATCCCACTTCAAAATCAAGAATGTTTTTCCCAAAATATTATTTGGTTATTTCTCTAGATACACCAAATTATTTTAATAGTTAAAAAATATTCAAATAGGAAATAAATTCTGCCATAATCACAAACTATCAACATACAAAGAAGGCAATTTACTTGAAAATCTTCTAGTTTTGAAAGAAGAAAGTGGTCCCCTTTGTTTTTTTGGCATTTCTTTCATAAACTTACAGGTTCTTTTTTTACTTTTGTTATATTTTACAACTTTTCTTTGGATGGGAAAAGCAATGTGAGGTAGAAAACAACTTTTTGGCTTATACATATTTTTCACTTTTAATGTTTTGTAGCTTTCCAAATCTTTGGAGGATCCCATGTCAATAAGAAACTAATTATAAAACCTTATTTTATTAATATTTACATATTATAACCTATTATTTTGCAAAGTGAGTCACACTTTATAATAATTATATTTTATTTTTTGTCAATTCCAGTGGGGGTAAATATAAAGGAGCTAAAATTTCTAGCTATTTTTATAATATAATCAAAAGGACATTACAACTTCAGGCAATTTCCCCCACCCTAGAGCCATCCCTGGCTATGCCAGCCAACCACATCATTAATATAAGAACCACTTTCTCCTTACAGGTGCCAATTAAGCCAACTTAACAGAGCACATGCGATGTTTTCCATTCATAATCTATTTAATTGTACCAAGATTAAAGTCCAATAACCTGCATAATGCCCGATTTCATTAATGATATATGCTTTGCTAATTGCTTATAGCAGACATGCACAGTGTCTGGAAATAGGGAATGAATGTTAAAAAATTATCAATGGCCAATTACAACCTCCAAATAATCCTGGTTTTTTTTTTTTTTTGGATAATTAAATAATGCCAGCTTCTGACAACCTTAAAATATGTGATAGGTAGAAAACTAACCGTTCCAAGGTTGTTTGAAGGAAACTCCAGTGAACCAACTTGTTTCGGAGAAGCTGCTGGATATGATGTCTGAAACAAAGAACTCTTCCCAATAAAAGGCTTTGAACAGTCTGAGCAGAATCTAGCAGCCCCAAATCCATCAAACCCTTGATATTGCATGCAACACTTGCCAGAGTTTCCAGGGAAGTTGCTTCCTCCACCATATAATCCTGATGGAGGGAGATAATTTGGTCTCAGGCCAAATCTTTTTCCATCCAGTTGTTGCTCAATATTCACAGGAAACTCTAGATGGGAAAATTGAGCCTTTGAAGCAACTTTTGGAATATTTAGAGGAACTGATGACTGGTGATAAGATGAATCTGAGGTACGGAAATGCCTTGTAGTGGGTAACCAACTAGGATCCCCTACAAGAGGCAGCTGAGATGAAACTGGAAGATAAGGTCTATGTGGCATTTGAGAGCTGTGCCTAAAACCATGAAAACCAAGAGATGCAGTTTCATTGTAGATGCCCTGTGTGAGGTGAAGAAAAAGAAATGCCTTTTTAAGATATACTGGTAGAGAGAAAGGTAGAAATAATGAAAGGGAAACCACAGAAGGTTTACACACATGAAAGCCACTTTCCAGGCCCTTAGCACTCAAATATGGAAGGAATGAACCCTGTTTATCAGCTGCATCTTGCAAGCAGAGAACTTCATGAGTAGTAAGCAAAATAAGAAAGAGCATTATGTGACAGTGAAAAACATTATTCCGTCATCCACGATTGTGCTAACCAGATATCTAGGCAACCTTGATCCATAGATTTACATGTCACGCCTCGCATTCAATTTAGAGTCCCCCTCAATGGAATCTAGAAAAGGCCCTTTTACATTCTATATACTAACAAAAAAACATCAACCTTAAAAAAATCCAGCAATCATGCAACTATCAAAGCATTCTAGAAGCACATTCCTGCAAGTTCACTACAGACTTGGAGATAATTTGATGAAAGTTTTACCTAATCATAGGCCAATATGGAAAAAATTCTACAGTATCAAAGATGGATAAATGATAATACTATATCAATCATAACATGGTGATAAAAAGAAGTTCTCTATTGTGCTGTTTGTATAGATTTTATCTTCAAAGCTCACCACTAGCTTCCCCACATCACTATGGGTAAGACAAGTCATATATTGAAGCTATTTTGATTTCACTTTCACCCAAAGGTCCAAAATATATATACAAGAAGAATTGCTAATTGCGAAATAAAATACCCTTGCAATTGGCAAAAGATTGAATATCACTTTCCTTAAAAATATCCAAGTCGTAATCCTATATAAAACTACACATAATCAAAGCTAAGTTTATATAAACAAGATAAATATTTTATGACAAATGCAGAGGACTAACCTTCAAGATGGAATTGTGACTCGAGGGAATAGGCATTAGACAAAAAGGTTGTCTTAGAGTCAACCACAGAGGGCATGAATCTTGACTGATCCGTACCGTCCCTCAAGGGACCAACTGCAACCAAATCCTGCTTCAAAAAGAACAAAAAAAAAATCATCATATCTTCAGCTATAGCCAAACGATACTAGCAACAGTCAGCAGATTGAAAATGACAATATATAGCCCAACCAAGGCAACCGACAAAAAATAAGCACTGCATGCAATAATATACCTTATCAGTCAACAGGTTGGGATTAGCAAGGTTGTTGTTCCTATCCACAACCAAAACGTTCAAAGCCTCCGCAGTGTCTAGAATCCCACGAACATTATCAATTTCTTGGATTAACCAAACAAATAATGTGTGCACGTATGCAAACAAGTGCGCCAAGCATTGAAACATAAAAACGTAGGCATAGATAAAAACTTTTAAAGAAACATGAATTTTTCACTATGGAATGCAGAAATTCACCTCGCAGGGAAAAAAAAAAAAAGCGTATCAAAAATAGGATATATTAATATCTGTTGCCAAACAATAATTATTTCCATGATCAACTTTAATAAATCCTTCGGAAATGGCAAACTAATCTCGGACTAGATTCTACATTTCTCATTTCCTCATTCCTTAAATTCAAACAAAACCAAAGAAAAGAAAGGCCATAATTGGTAGGAGCAACATTGGAAAATAACAGCCTAAAAAGATGGCATCAATTTTCTCTCTTCTTTGTTTCACTTTTCGCTTACGGAGATTATGATTTGAAGAGTGAAGTACCAGCAGAGGTTAAGCGATCAGAACTTTGGTGAGCCATCGTCATAAACTATAGACCAAACGATATATTTATGTGTATTCGTTAGAGATAGGAAGCTCTTGTTTGGTAAAATTTTGGTGAAATATTTTTGGCTGGGAATCGGGAGAGAGGGGTTTAGGGTAGAGTTGGTAGAAATTAAGAGGAATTGCTTTGCATTTTTTCTGTTTGTTTGGCGGAGTGCGGGTATGCCAAGAACAGTGAGAAGAAGAAGAAGAAAAAGAGAGAAGTGGAGACCTTGGGGGTGATGAAAGGAATGGGGAGGAAATAGGAATAGGGAATATCTGCGCGTACGCAGAGTTGGCGAAACTCCACTTGTCCACCTGCTCCCCCCTGCACTTAAGACCCCGTCCCCTCCTAATCCAGCAGTTTTTCGGTTACGTTCCTCTACGTTACAAATTTAAGTTCTAGTACTCGCATGCCTACATTATGCTGAGATAAATGGGAGAAAACTAGAAAATAAGAAAGAAAATTATAATATTCTTGCAAGCTCATGTCAATACTAAACATAATTATTATTTTATTTTATATATGTTAATCCAATTAAAAGAATTCATATGATCATTTGAGGAGTAAATTAATTTCAGGCAAAATTTAAAAACATCAATATCTATATTAACAAAAAAGATTTATTTATTTAATATAAAAGTTATACCATACATTTCATGATGTATAAGCTAATAAATTTAATTTATTAATTATTACTTAAAAATATCATTTACTTTTCTATTCAAATGTATTTTCTTTTTGGCTTTTATAAAAAAAATAAAGAACTAAGTCAAATCAATTTCTTTTAATTTTTTATAATGTGAAGAGATAGGTAGAATATAAATCACTTTTAGATTTTTTTTTTCTATTTATTAATGTATAATACACTTCTTTAGGTTTTTACAAAATATAATGACTCTTAAGAGAAATTAGAAAGTTGATTGTTTGATATGTTTATTTATTGATTCAATAAAAGTTAAAATGGCTTCATTTGATAGTTCAAAAATGTACTTGGTCGTGAAATCCTAGTTGAAAAATCAAAATGCAAATAAAAAGAGAAATGCAATATTTAAAAATATTTTTATATCATTTGAAATGCAATTTCTTGAAAATCGTAGAAAAAAATATTAAAAGTTAGATGTTTTGTATCTAGTTACTGCCTAGGTTGTCATCATACATCATTATTATACATCATTATAACAATTATTAACGATGTCTCATTCATTGAACTATGGAAAAAATTTAATACAAATTTTTGCTTCTTAAACATGACTATTATACTAATTATTGAAAAGTTTGCTTATAAATTTTTGTATTTAAAAAAAAGTAATAAATTTTGAATTTAAACCCTCAATTTTTTTTGTACATTTATTAACTTAACTTTTTTAACTAATTTAAAGTAACAAACAAATGACACTTATCACATTAAATTCAATTATAGACGATTATTCTACAAACCATCAATAAAATTTTAAAATTTACAAATGGAGTTAAAATATTGTCACATGTTTTTCGATTTATCATATAGAGTTTATAATGCATTTAAGGGTTTATTTTTGATCTAGTGACAATGCATAGTTTAGGTCACCAAGTACTGACATCCCATTAATGAGGTAAAACTAAAAATTTATAAAAACTTAAACTTAAAAATTCAAAAAATTTTGTAATTAATTAAATGGAAAACAAAAAGAATTTCTCGCCAACTTCCGAACTTCTTTTATTGTTCTCCTCTCATTTATCCCTCTTTAACTCTAACATCTTCTCCTTCCTTCGTTGCATTCCATTAAAAATAGATTTAGCAAAATTGCAGAACTTCAACAGATTTCAAGATAATTTTTACTGGTTGATTTTAATGATATGTTTTTTAATTGATGTCTACATTTGATTTAAGATTATTTCAAATGCCTAACTCTTTCTCTCTCTTAGTTTGGAACCTCATTTCTTAAATTAGGTTAGAATTGTAACCTTACTTTACTTGGTGAGCTATTAATTTAAAGTTTTTGAACATGATTATAAAACCATTTTGACTTAGAAAATTCATGTTTTGATAACCAAATGTGTTTGATCAAAAGATACAGCCTTTAGAAGGTCAAAATGGGATGATTTTGAAATTAAAAATAGTATTCTATACGAAATCAATCGATACATGTTCATTATGTATCAATAGATCAAACCCAGAAAATGATTCTAAAGAACATCTATTGACAGATGGCCAACTCTATTGATAGATAGACTTGATCTATCAATAGATTAGGCTTAAACTGAAAAAATAGGGCATTTTGGTTTTTTCTCACTCATTTTAAAAGCCCAAAACCTTTTTGACTTTTCCTCATTTAGAAAAAAATGAAGTTTTTCCTTGAAAACCCAATCACCCTCTTCCCTTTTTTTCTCAAATCCCATCTTCAACAATACTTAAGGATTTCAAGCTGTCAAAAGTCAATTTCAAGTTTAGACTTTGACTTTAAAGGATATTAGATGTTAAAGTTCACTATTTTGGACTTTCAAATTTAAGGATTGATTTCCAGAAATTTATAGGTTCTTATAAATTTGTTTTACTCATGAAAACTTAGGTTTTGAGTTGGTTTTGGAACTCTCAAGCTCACCAAGGTAAAGTTGCTTAAACTTTAGCTACGAGTAGACTTAAATCCTTTAGTTGAAGTTAGATTAGCTACTGATTTATTGAATATGAGTTGCTGGATAAAATTTGTGGAAGGATTAGGTGATTATTAGTTTAAGATTATGTTATAAAACCAAGGATTAATGATGGAAAACTTAATGATAGGTGTTGTGGAGAAAGTTTGAATTTTTGAAAAGCCTAGTGTTTGACAAAAGGTCCTAAAGAGCAAGACACGCTTCTGTGGGGTGGGTAAAGGCAGTGTTTCTAATTATTTTAGTATAATTAAGCGTGCCTATTCTACAACCTTGCATATGAATAAATTTCAATGAGTTTGTGCTGTGAATAAAGGTTTACAATTATATTTTGATGAAAACCATAAACTAAGTATATTTAGTCTACTATGTATTAGTTTTGAGCATAGGAAACAAACCTTTCAAAGTTTTGTCATCTTAAACATCTCATTTGTCTATGATTGATGTATGGTTGGCGGTTATAAATGTTGATGTGAGAAATGAATTCTCATTAGTAAGGCCATGCTATTTATGGTCATTTATCTCATAGTTGTTGATATGGTTGATTGACTTTGGTTATATGATGTCTCAACCTTTTAATATGTCGGTGATTGGAATCACCTTTTTATTGGATTGAATTTTGAATATTGGATTGTTTTTATGGTGATTGAGGGAGCCTATTGAAATGAGGTAGTAAGGGTAATCACTAGCCATTATGTACAATGAGTTACAACTTAAGCCAATAGAGGTATCCCGAAACTTGTTGGATATGGTAATTAACGGAGTTCTACCATTTTTTTGTGGTCAGTGACTATATATACCGAAACTTTCTAGTGTAACGACACTAGGTGATTATCTTTCCCTTAGCTAGTGCTCTAGGGTTTCTTTGACTTGATGTCTAATGTGATGAATTTGTATCATGGATGGTGTTTATTTGATGTTTGAACATTGGTTACTTGACTACGGATAAGTAATAGTCTTGGTTGAGGTCTCAGTGATGAGTTTTAGGCTAAAAATTTGAACTCCTTGCTTGAACTATCAATACTTTCGAGAAAAGTACTAATAGATAGCTTCCACTAACCCTTAAGTTGCATTCTGTTTGCTATCAATCAATAGATTGAGCAAATCTATTGATACTTCTAGTCAATAATAGAAAGATCGGGTTTGTTTTGAGCTACTTCTCTACTTTTCAAAGGATTTTCTAAGTGCAAATGATTTGGTTTTATAATTAAACCTTTGGAATACTTGTTTATGTATTTTAAACATTTTTAAATTGATTTTAAACAACCAATTTCAGTTAGATCACTTGCATCATTTACAACATTTGAACTCGTTTTGAAGGCTTAGAAATTGTTTAACAAACTATATTTTATAAAACCATTTTACTATCCTTGATTCATTTGAAAGACAACGGACTTGGAGACTATGGGATTATTTGGTACAAGATCCGTTTGGAAGATAACAGACTTGGAAACTATATGGATATTTGATACACTTGGTTAAACACAAATGTTTTATGAATATACTGGGAGAAGCAGGTAATGATTTATGATTTTGCCTAGAGAGGCAGGTGTTAAATTATGGTTACGCTTGAAAAGGCGGGTTTTGCAAAACATTTGATCTTACGCTTAATTTAAGTGAGTTAATTTAGTCTTAGTTAATTTTATGCTTAATTTAGTGTTAATGTGATTAAGATAGATTGTTATTGATTTATTTGTATTTTTGTAGGTGTTTAATGAAGGAAGAATTTTAATGGTAGAAATAGAGCAATTTCAAGGTACAAACCTCCACTGCACATATTTTAGTATTTTGATCATAACTCTCTCTATAGAACTTCAAATAAGTTGATTTTTAGACCATTGGTAGGCTAAAAGAAAAATATACAACTTTCATGTTTACCACTTTGCCTAGTTCTGCTTAAAAGATAGTCAAAAATCTTGTCAAAATTGAGGCATTGCAACAGCCCTAGAGCAATTACGATTTCTGCTCATTACATGGTCAAGGCCCAGCTTTGGTGGAGTAGGCTATGGCTCATGTAGTTTGATGAAGAAATATTAATTAGAATTGACTTGTTTCTTCACCCAACTTAGCCTAACTTCAAAGCCCTAAAAATAACCTTTCAAAAGACTTAAACACAAAAAATGAGACACCAGTTTGAAAGCTTAGAATCAAGCCACAAAGTCACTGAAGCTGAGAAAAAATTGAGGGATTCAAGAAGATTTGGAAGATCAAGATTACAATTCTTGGGTTCTATTAACTTTTAGTTATTCTTTTATTTCTTTAGTTTGATTTTAATGTTTAAACTTAATTTGATGTGTGTAACTTGATGGGAAACTAAATTGTTTATCTAAGATTATGATTGAACTCAACATGTGGTCTAATTTATTTGTCTTTCTTTTGCTTATGTTTGATGGATTTAAGCTATTTATTCTATTTTTTCTTAATACTTTTAGTTGATTGGCCACCAATTTGATTGAATTGGAAATTTAGGTTAAACCTTGATGAGGGAGATTTAGGTAAACCTTGAATAAAATAGCATATGATCAAATACACTTAGTTGATTAGGTAGTTTGATTTGCATATAGGATAAACATATACCTATAAGCCATACGTAGTCAAAATTAAAGCACAAATTTAATGAATTTTTCTTCAATTTAATTTGCATGGACATATAGTAAATTAATTAAGAGAGATATTTTTATGAGAAACTTGACAAAGGCTTGTA